TCAGCATGTGATCGTCCCCATTGCATGTCTTCCAGGCATGATACTATCTGCACTGCACGTGACGCGCTAAAAGGGACCCTCACTAAAAACAACCCCATGCTGTTTGAATAATCATCTTCCAAAACTGTAAGCTCTATCAATCTATTTTCTCTATAAATTATCCATCATCAAATATTTTGTTAAAGTAACAAATAAATGACTAATACCCAAATTCCTCTTCTGGGAATCACCAGCAGCGCTATATGATGGGATTAACTATTGTTATTGTATTTTGACATTAATTAACACTTTAAAAACAAGAACACTTAAATTGAATCTCATTTATCTTTAAAATATGAGTCTCCAAATTAAAATAGTAGCTTTGACTCTGAGGAGAGGTCAGTTATGAGTTGTTAGGAAGACTGAAGCTAAGCTTCAGAGCTGTTTGGGGGGGGATTGTTGTGCTAACTACAGTATAAAACTTTGAATAAAGCATTTGATTTCTTCAAGCTTGAAAGCAGGTGCATTTGGCAAGGTGCAGGGTGGTGATGAGTAATGCTAATGGATGGTTCCTCATGACTGTTTGTCTTAACTTCTTGTCTATTAACTTTGAAGTAGATCTGTTTATGTGTGTGTGTGTGTGTGTGTGTGTGTGTGTGTGTGTGTGTGCATATGTGTGTGTGTGTTACTGGGAATTAAACCTAAGGTCTTTGCATTGAGTTAAATCCACATCATTTTTTCTTTTTTTTAATTTTGAGACAGGGTCTTACAAAATTGCTAAATTGCTCAGGGTAATCTCAAACTTGAACCCTTCCTGCATCGGTCTCCATGTGGTGTGCCACCTCATCTGGCTTATTATACACTTTTAAGGAGAATGGAGTAGACCACTTTTCATTATTTGGTGGACTTTCCTTATGTCTACCAGGATGCCAGTGACTCTCAATTTGCATTTCCCTTTTAAAACCCTCTATCTTTTCAGCAGATCTCAACCCTGTTTTGTTTCAGTGACAACAGAGTACAATGGCCAAAAACTGGTCCAGAAGCAGAATATACAGCAGTTCAAGTCCTTGTAGAAACTCTCATGTAGAGCCTAATTTTCTTTATCTTGTTAAGATTCTGTAGGAATTAAATAAAGTAGCATATAAAGAAAGTCTTTGCAAGACCAGTGCATGGATGCTGTTATTATTATACTCTAATTGCCAAACTCCAAACCTTATGTATCTCAATATCCATGATCATTGTGACTCATTAGACACTAAGAACCCATCCTTCCTTGACTCTCTCTCATTTATCCTTGTCAGTTCCCCACTGTATCCATGTTCCTTTTTCTTGCTTTTTTCCTCCTCTTTGCTAGTACAAGAAGCATGTAAGTATCTTACTAACATTGTCTTACCAAATGGCTCTGGAAGAAGTCAATACATAGACTGAAAATCCAGTGTCTACATACAAACTGATGCAGAGCAGTGGGAGAAGACTGAAGCATTACACACCAATGCTCAGCAGTGTTCACTGCAAAAGGCAGTTGCATGTGATCAAGAGGATCTCTGCCTTGTTTACAAACTAATAAGTAAATGGACCAAGAGCAAGAGCTTCCAGCTCAAGCTTGTTAAGATAAATTTCTGTATGCCACACATTTCTGTTGGCTTCATATTTGTCCAGCAGCCAGAATGAAAGAGGCAACAAAGGGAAAGCACAGAAATCACAGGGTCCTGCTAGAGTTGAAACGTAGATTGTAACCTCTTTTTCTAAGCTTTACCAGCCTGTAGTGGGAATGAGGTTATCTTGATAGTCACAGCTAAAATGACATCGCAGCTTCTAAAACAGGGCTAACAGGCTTCTCAGCCCAATAATCCTGGTAGTGTAAGGGGGTATCTCACACACAGCCATCAGAAGGCATACTTTGGTCAAGCATTATCAGTACTTTATCAGGTGTCCCTAAGAATCACTTTGTGGATCTATCATTCCCTAACCACCATTTCGAGGAGATAATCAGTCCTCTCCACTGCTCTCTGGGAATTATCATGAGTCTATCCATGTTCCTTCAACAACAGGTTCAAGGCTGGCTTTGTGACAAATGACAGTATTCTCATAACTCCAGAACTTGGAAATGAACATGACCATTTAGGTTCAATAGTAGCAGTGGCTCTGACCTGGATTTCAAACACAGTTCTTCCAACTCAGACAAAGCAGCTTTCTGTCCACCTCCACAAATACTCCCAAATATCAGCTACATCCATCCAGGTCAGTAAATCCCACATACACAAAGAGCCATGACTCTCAGTGTAAGATTCTCTTTTAAGTCAGTATAGACAAGAATCTCTAGTACTGCACAACTTGTTTGATTTTAAATGTCACTTTTTTTTTCTAGAAACATGTAGGGTCTTTTTCTATTCAGTATGTAGTGGACATTTGGAATAACTAATGACTAGATCATCTTAGAATTCAGAGCTATAAGGACAGCCTCTTTTCACCATCTTGCTAACAAACACTGGGGCCAGGGTGTGAAGAAACAAGAAGAACATAATGCTGTCTCTCCCCTAGCAAAGTTCCAACCCAACAAAGGACATGCAGTTTCGTCACTGATTACTTAGGGAAGGATACCATGGCAACATGACGTTCATTTGGAAACCTAAATAAGATAAATGGGTTAAAGATGGAAATTCCAAGAGTAATAAATGCCTGCAGATGTGTCTTGAAGGACAAAAGAAGTTATCTAGGTTTTTAAAAAAATGGAATAGAAAGAGGTTTATTTGAAAGAAATCCATAAACAGGACTGAGGATTTAGCTCAGTGGCATAAGCACCTGCCTGGCAACCATGAGGTCGTGAGTTCAATCCCCCTTACCAAAAAAAAAAAAAAAAAAAAAAAAAAAAAAAAAAAAAATCCATAAACAAAAAGTTTGTTTAGTTTGTGAAACCACAGAGAAGTCCACAGTTGTTTAGTATAGATATCTATTATTTATTAGGTTGAAGATTTCTGTTACTGAGATATTGTCAGAGGATAAAGGAAGAAATACTAGCTTCTTTAAAATTTTGCATCAGTTGGGGTGGTGCAGATCTGCAGTGCAAGCTATTCAAGAGGCTAGGGCAGGAGGGTCACTTGATTTCAAGATTTCAAGGCCAGCCTGGACAATGCAGTGAGACCCTACCCAAAAAGAAAACAAATTTGAGCCTCAAAGTACAGAATATGTATTTAGCCAGAGTGGGACCTTGGATTCAGTTCCTATCACCACATGTTTTTTTCATTATTACTGGCTTATGCAATTACTAATTAGAGCTAAGCAGTTACTTAAATATTGGATAATATCTTTAATTATTTTTGAAAGTCAAGTCTAACGAGAAGCACTTTATAGTAAACCATAGTATGCCTGCTCATTAAGACTGAAATTTCCAGTAGATCCTGGTAGTTTTACTTCCTGAAAACATCCCTAAGGTACTCAGTAGCTTGGGTTTGACACGTGGACATACTAGAATTCCATGTTTTTCTTATGGAAATTTATTTAAATTTGTGTGTGTGTGTGTGTGTGTGTGTGTGTGTGTGTGTGTGTGAGATATCTCTGTCTCTCTCAGCTGACTCAAGATCCAGCAGTACAAACTTAATCCATCTTTCCCCCTGCTGTATCAGCTTCTGGTACAAAGCCTGGCACAGAATAGGTAAAGGCATGTTAACACTGTTGCTCTTGTCCTTGCATGTTCCTCTTGCTACTGTCTAGACTTGGCTGTTAGAATTAAGTGTCTATGAGCAATCAGGAATTGTATTTTCAGGAAAAAAAGCAGTGACCATTTAGGTTTGTGACTGTGTCCTGGTCTAACAAGCAAGAGTCACTAATGAAGTTAGAGCACTTTCAGAGCAAATCCCAAATACTGTAAAAAGAACCTACTTAGAACAGAAGCTTTGAGCAGGTGTCTGGGATGGAGTCACATGTTCTTTTCCAAGGACAGGCATTCTGACAAGAATGCAGGACCGTATACATCGCTGGCAGAGTTCAATTCAAAATAAAAATGCAGTCCCTTGTTAATTTTTTTTTTTTTTAAATAGAGCATTAAAGCAAGCACAGGGCCCCTTGTAAGGGCAGATTACGCACCCATGACTCTGATCCAGCAAACACCCACAGTTACAAGTTCACAAAATTCAGTTATAAAATTAAGGGAGTTTTATGAGTAGAGGAAGATTTTTAAGTTTCTAGATGTATTTCCTTTTGCACTCAGGTTGTGTCTTCAAATAAATCCAGACACTTATGTACCTTTATTTGGTGATGCTATCTCACTGTTTCCAAAAGCTGGAATAAGGCAGACTAGTTTGCTCCTCTGTGCACAGACCTAAACTTGGCAACCTCGGACACCTGATTGCTCTTCAGCTGCTAAGATGATGCTAGACTTCAGGCCTCACAATTCAAAATGTATAGATTTTAAAGCCCAAATGGGGTCCAAATTTCAGAACTATCTGGATGACTTAAAGCAAATCACAAAACCCTTAATCCCTTTGCCTGTAAAATGAAAGTGATAGTACCTAGCCCCATAGTATGATTGTGAGGATTTAATCGAGGTAAAAAGTGCAAAGAACTTAACGCAATAAACGCACAAATATGAGAAGCAAATGTCCATAGGCTAACTGCATTCTCTATCTGCTTTACATCTACCCTAATTGGGTAAACGGCATTGCCATGAGGAAGGGAACCTCCACTGTGACGCCTGCTCTCTGTCACTGAACCTTATAAATAGGTTAGTTCAGTCCCCGTATCTCTCAGTCTATTCCTTGGGTGAGGGATGAGGGAGTTGGTGCAGGTGGTCCCTCCTAGCCATACCAACTGAGGGTTTTCTATGCATTCCGGGGAAGGGGGTTTGGTTTGGCTCTTCACTGCCCCATCTCAGGAGTCACCCGGACCCCGACCGACACAGTGAGAGCTCAGCCTCGGCGCGGCGCTCCCGAGCGCTGCCCCCGCCCCCTCCCATCGCCCCCACTACTCGGCGCCCTGGCCTCGAGCCCCGCCCCGAGCCGCCTCCGGCTTCACCCCGCTCCTGCAGCCGCTCAGCCCGAGCCGCTCGCTGGGGCCGGGTGGGTGGCAGTCACGACTGTGCGGTCGCAGGCGAGGTGGCCGCGGGCGCGGAGGGGCGGCGAGCGCGCTCCCCGCGCCTGCGGACGTGCGGGGAGGTGGGCAGGACACCGGCCCGGGCCCGGGCAGGGGCGAGGCCGGGGAGGGCAGGCGAACCGGCGCCCCGGCGTGGATGGGAGTTCCCGGGACCCGGAGCTGAACCGTAGGCAGGACGCGCCGGAGGCAGGCGAGCCTCACGGTCCCTCCCGCAGCCCAGCAGCGTTCCCGCGCGGCCGCGATGATCCCCCCGAGCGGCGCCCGAGAGGATGGCGTGGACGGGCTGCCCAAGGAGGCGGCGAGCGCCGAGCAGCCGTCCTCTCCTGCATCCACCAGCAGCCAGGAATCCAAGGTACCGCACACTTGCCCGAGGGAACACAAACTCACCTCTCGGTTCACCTCTTCCCTTTCCGTCTGGCGCTTGGCCCGGGGGCTAGGACGCGTCCCTAGTTCGGCTGACTCTCGAGGGGCCAGCAGCCCCTTGAGACCTGAACGCCCGGCAGAACCCACTAGCGATGCTGGACCACGTCCCGTGGACCCAGTCTCCCTCCCGCGCGGACCCCAGCCTTGGCGCTAAGCGGCCACTCTAGGAGCGCACACTGTTCACATGGACTCCGGCTTCAGGGGCAGGCAGAGGAGGCTTGGTTGTTTGGTGCTTGGAACCTGTTTATGCCGCCAAGCGCTTGTAGGTGATAAGTGGCTTCTCATGGCTGAGGAATGGAGATAACCTAGGATACTTTTCCAGAAAAGCGTGGGCACCAGGCCAGCAACAGGGTCTCACAGACCCTTTGCTTAATAGGATGTATGCATATATTAACAGTAGTAAAAATGAGAGAGATACTGTACGCGTGAAAAAGTTGGTGTTCCTCTTGTTAGTATTCTAAAAACTTATACTTGTCTTTATAAGAGTCACACTAACTTCTATACACAAAGCCAACTCCATAGCACTTCTGTCACTGTTACTCTTCCTCTGAAACTCGTGTGGGTGCCAGGCACATGTTTGGAAATCTTGGAAGAGGATCAAGTAAAATGTGTCTGCTAACAGAGCTATGCCAACTCAGCTGGGAGTGAAAATCTTAAGATGGAGTTGTACTTTATGGGTTTTTATAAGTGCAGCTCGTCTGGCTCGTTGTACAGGTTTCCTTGTGGGTATCCCCGGGATTTTTCCAATATAAGGCAGACCCTGTCTTGTGGCAAAGGAAAAGATCTTGCTAGTTTAGAGGCAAGTTAGATGGGGCATGAAAAACACAGCTTGGTTGCCCTAGACACTTATCTCTAGAAGCCACCAAGCAAATAAGCAGCATCAAAATCACAATCCAAGTGGCTTGGTCTGATGGTGGTCACTATACATTTCCCAACATCCTACAGTTAACTATCAAAGATGGCAATCTAAGACAGAAATCTTGCTTTTTTAATTTCCATTATTTTTCTGTTGATTCCTCGCTATCTCACCATAAGCATGATGTCCACTATTGTAAAATTCGGTTGGAAATGACAAAAACTTCGGCTTTCCAAGATCATTGTGAGAAGTAAATACATCATCAAGTTTCCATTCCGGCACAGCATGTTTATCTTTTATTCCTTTCTGAGATAAGGAGATGAAATCGGTTACTCCTCAGATGATTCACTCCAAGCAGTCTCATAACACACATGCACACTACCTCTCTTCCATCTAGAAGTTTACAGGGGTTCACATTGTCCAAAACTGACCATCAGTCTTAGATGTGATAGTGACCATTTCAAAGATTACCTAGAGTTTTAAATTCTATTTTAAGTTCTTTAAATGTAGCTAAACGCAAGAGTGTAATTGGTATTAAAACTTTTAAATAGGGCCCATTGCTCTGCAGTAGGTGTGTTAGCATTTGGATAAACACCAGCACGGTTCAAACACACTGTATGAGTTTGCTATTTATAGATGTCCAAATGTAAATTCTTTGGCAAAGCAAAAATCTCATGCAATGCCCATAATTATCTGCCAATTTATATCGCTTTGGTTTCAAATTTATGTAAGTCAGTTTTTGTCAAAGTGGTCTACATGCCCCATTTTTAGACATTACGATTTTTGCTGTCATGGTTTAGTCATCTTTAGTAAGTGGGAAAGGACAGTGGATGGACCCCCTGAACTCCAGGAAACTGAATAAAAATAGTGTACCTGAATGTGAATTTTTCATGCCATAGCATTCATGATATTTTTCAAAGGGCACATACTCCTCAGGAAAAGTAAGGGTAAGCTGCTGGTAAGAGGGCAGAGTGGCACAAAGTGAAAGCAGAAAAAGTGCATTCCCTTCTTTACTCAGACAACCACATCTTAAAGCTCACTGGCATTAATGAGACTTTTCCTTTCTGCAAATGAGAGCCTAGTAGGGGAAATGTGAGCAAGTGGGAATCATTCCATTGCACTCTCCTGGGAAGTAGTCTATTTGTAAAATAATAATAATTATAAATTTCAGCATAAGTAAATTTCAAACCTATTAGACATGTCAAGTGAGGTGATGGATGTGCTCAGTAGATTGATTTAATCATTCCACGTCATTGTTGTATAGTAAAATATCATACTTTGCTGTGTAAATGTAATACAATCATGATGTCAGTTACAAATATCAATAAAACTTGTTTTAAATATACCTCATGAAACAAACATGATTCAGGTCGCTCTGGGCGTTAGACCTCAAGGAAAGCTTCTTAAATTACTTTTCTTAAAAACTTGTTTCAGTAACTTGTAAGAGTAACATGCAATCAGTGAACTGAAAAAATGGGTGCACAATTCAGTAGCAACTATGGACAGCATTTTAATTTATATTTGACATCATTTTCATCTTTTGATATATTTACTTGAGAGAACAAAAGTGAGCATACTGAATGTTACCTATATGTCAGAAATCAGTTTAATCTTCAAAGCAGGAGACTGTTATTTCCATTTTATGGATAGAAGTAGAGTCTCTGAAAGTTTAGATAACTTACCCAATATTGTGTAGCTAGGTGAGTCACACAGTCATGATTAGAACCAGGTAGCTCAAGAGCTCTCAACATGTCTGTAACCGTCTTGTACACCATTCTGCATGCATCAGCCCATTTTCACTTGATGTCCTAAGGGTTTCACACACCACTGGAAGTCATTTGCAGCATTGGCTGCGTCTTCTTAAGAAATCCTTGGAAATAAATTGAGCCTTATGACCATGTTAAATGATTAGTATCCAATTCTTGCCTAGCTTCCTTCTATTTACATGGGGACTCTCCTAAAGGTATAAAGTAATTGAGTATCACAGGATCATCTGGAAAATGGTGCCATCACAAGCTCTCTACTGCAAAGGGTCCAAAGAAAGTCATAAAATATAAAAAACGTTCATATACTCTCTGACTCCATAAAAACACATAAAGTATCACTGAACATAAAATGAGCTGCTAAAACATCTCTAGAAATACATTTACTTTGTGAATTCTTTGAAATGCTAAATCAGAATAGTAAAATTAGAAATATTAGAGATCATCTATTCCATTATTTTTAAACTTGTATATCATTTTAATTCTGTGAATTTATTTTATTATGGAGGATTTCAATATAACACAAACAGAAAAGCAAGATAAACAATCATCATAGGCCCTATCACCCAACTTCAGTGATTATAATTCCTAGAAAATATATACTGTACTAATTTATGCATTACCTCATCTTGATCACCACCACCCTTCCCCCTATATTGGATCATTTTAAAACATATTGACCATCAAATTTTTTCACCTGAGAGTATTGCAAGTTCCATGTATAAAATACAAAGATTATTTTTGTAAAGATGACTATGATCCATCCCATAAGCACATATCACAGGTGTTTTCAAATCAAATCAGCTTGATGATGTGGAAAGATTACAGATTTAGACATTAAACAGACAAAGTTCAATCTCTCTTTTAACTAGTAGCCATTCTTTGGAGGTGCATGAATGTTCGTAGAAAATTTGTGACTAGAAAACTAGAATACAAAACTATCTATGTACATGCATCTGTGTATTTTTTTTTGTTTGTTTGTTTGTTTTTTGTCCTTTTCATTTTTATTGGTACCGGGGATCGAACTCACGACCTGCTTGCAAGGCAGGTGCTTATGCTGCTGAGCTAAACCCCCAGCCCCTCATCTGTGTATTTTTTGAGAAAGAGATTTACAACTTTTATCAGACAGAGAGTACATATATTTCAGTTATTATGTTAGTGATTATATCACTTTTTCAGTGATTAATATATTTTTCTCCCTCTTCTTTCCCCCTGTCTTTCTTTCTCTGAAACTGGAACCCAGCAAAGAACAATAACCAGTCTGAAATCACATTGGAAATTACTGACATAATTCCAGTCTTAAAACTGTGTGTGTCATAGACTCTAGATATCCCAGCATGTTTTTCTCAGAGCAAATTCCTCTAGGCACACATGATGGTGTAGCTTAACGTAACTGTGATTTTTTTCTTTTCATCATATGTGTTGAAAACTTTGAAAGAAAGTAAGGTAGTTCACCCCTATCTTTCCACTATCTATTCCAGAAAGACTATAGTCTATTTTTTTAAGTGCTGAACAGAGATCGTTGAACGAAACAAATTTCCTATTTCACCATCTCTTATCTCAATGAGTTTTCCTACTGATCAACTGAAGGCATACAATGCTTGCTAAGGTCCAACATGAAGTTTTAATGTTGATTTCTTTTACCATCGCTTATATGACCTCAAAGTCACATTTTGATGATGTGGAAGGATTACAGATTTGGACATTAAACAGACAAAATTCAAACTCTCTTTTAACCAGTAGCCATCTCTGTGACCATGAGGTTGTTGCCTAATATCTTCTTATTCTAAAACAGGAATACAAATATCCAATTGGCAGGACCTTCAATTGTAAGGCCTAAGAAAGTGTAGTATACTTAATATCCTATAACCATGCATAACCTCAAGTACTGTTATATTAATTATCTTTTTGTTTCAAATCAAAAGACTGCTACCACTAGCTAACACCAAATACCATCACTGGAATAACTTTAGTAACTACAACTGACATCACTATGGTATTACACAATATTCCTAGACTTGTTGTTATGCTGTTGACTTCAGGGAGATTTTATCTCATTTGGTTTGCATCTCTCATACCCACCAACATGTGACTTAGTATTTGAAAGTGTGCTGTAAGCTTCTTTGGAGCCATGAACCAAAATGCCCTTTCATCCATGAAAGGTACTGTGTGGGAGAAGACGACCACCCAATCTAGCCAAAAGAAGCCCTGAATTGTGGGAGACAACTTCAGTGACTCCCTTTAAATCCAAAACAATTACTGTGACTTGATTATTTGGAGACTCATTTCCTTATACTGATATGTAAAGGCTGGCTAGGATATTTCCTTCTCTCTTCAATTGGCTCTAAGCAATGCAAATAAGGCTAGCCAAGGTGCTATGTACAATATAGATATGTACAGATATGAGCACTCCAGATGAGATGAGATGTTAGAGCCAATAGCTCCAGGAATGTCACCTGGATACAAGATAAGAGACTATGACTCCCTAGGGCACAAGAGTTTGCATATCAGAAACCAAAATGATAGCCCCACAAAACAATTCCACTGGTACCCTAATTGGATTATGTAAATTGAACCTTCTGCATATCTTTATCTCTGCAATTTACAGAGATGCCAATCTTGCACCTGGCCAGCCAGCTCAAAA